AGGGGACTGAAAGGATTAAATGGAATATAACTGAATCCATTTTGTATACACTAATACAAGATGCTAGTTTAATATACATATATGAGATATGTGCACACTAACAAAACTGTCTATCTCAGCTTCATGTAGAAATGAGTGTTTTTGCAAACCCTTACAAAAAAGCAGATAAGGTTTACTCTCACTTCTGAAAAGTTTTAACCACAAATTGGGTGTTGGGTCAGATTAAAGCCATGGTCTGGGCTTTAGAGCAGATATGGTATGATAGATAAAGCAGAAGAGTGAAAATGCAAACCTCATACAAATAATTGTTGAGTTAAGGTAAAATAATGTACATGTATTTGATTGGATGGTCTGAGGGTGTGTTTGCCTAAAGACTACAGTATAATAACCCTGATGTTATGCCAATAAAACTGAAGTGTTTGCAATCGCAACTGAGGTGATTTGAGTGCATTCACTTTCCGAGATCTCGTAGCTGTGTCCAGGTGTGACCGTTGGTATCTTGAGGGGGCCCCCAAGGAAAAGGAAAAAGACCACCTACCTACTTTCAGAAACAATCACCCCAGTTTGGCTTTCTACTTCTTTAGCTAACTGCAGCGAACTTGCATGGCGATTTTCTTCAACCCTTCTTATCAGAAGACGCTCCAGTCGAAGTGTTAACTTCTGTAGATGGCCTTGACGTCTCTGTGAGATGGTTGCAGTTCCATCTTATTGTTGCATCACTTTTGCTACAGTATTATGACTGATAAATAAAGCTTTGCTGATCTTCTTGTAGCCTACACCTTTCTTGTGGAAAGAAATGACACTGCTAAAAAAATGAAAGGAACACTTTTTAATCATAGTATAGCATCAAGTCAATTAAACTCCTGGGATATTGATCTGGTCAGTTAAAGTAGCAGAGGGATTTGTTAATCAGTTTCAGCTGCTTTGGTGTTAATGAAATTAACAACAGGTACACTAGATGGGCAACAATGAGATGATCCCTAAAACAGGAATGGTTTTACAGGTGGAGGCCACTGACAATTTTTTCCCTACTCATCTTTTCTGACTGTTTTTCACTAGTTTACATTTGGCTAGGGTAAGTGTCACTACTGGTAGTATGAGGTGGTACCTGGACCCTAAAGAGGTTGCATAGACAGTCCAACTCCTCCAGGATGGCACATCGATATGTGCCATTGCCAGAAGGTTTGCTGTGTCTCCCAGCGCAGTCTCAAAAGCATGGAGGAGATTCCAGGAGACAGGCAGTTTCTCTAGGAGAGCTGGACGAGGATGTAGAAGGTCCTTAATACATCAGCAGGACCAGTATCTGCTCATTTGTGCAAGAAGGAACAGGATGAGCACTGCTAGAGCCCTACACAATTACCTCCAGCAGGCCACTGGTGTGAATGTCTCTGGCCAAACAATCAGAAACAGACTTCATGAGGGTGGCCTGAGGGCCTGATGTCCTCTAGTGGGCCCAATGCTCACTGCCCGAAACCATAGAGCTCGATTGGCATTTGTCACTGAACACAAGAATTGGCAGGTCCGCCACTAGCGCCCTGTGCTTTTCACAGATGAAAGTAGGTCTGGAAAAGTCTAGAGAAGCCATGGAGAATTTTATGCTGCCTGTAACATCGTGCAGCATGACCGTTTTGGTGGTAGGTCAGTGATGGTCTGGGGAGGCATATCCATGGAGGGACACACAGACCTCTACAGGCTAGAGAATGGCACCCTGGCCATATATATATATATACCCTTGGTATGATGAATAAATACATTTCCAGATAAATAAATAAGACTTGTACAAACCTTCAATATAAGCCTGTCAAATTCAGTATGTATTTCTGGGTTGTTGCTTCTTTCAAAACTATTCATTTGGTAGCTAGAAAATAGTAGCTTCTCTGATATGGTTTTAGTCAATTGTATCTTACTAAGCACTGAAGCGATGTACTCTATAAGAAATTTGGGCTGCTACAATAAACACTATTAAAATGGAGGCCCATGTATTCCACATCAGCAATATCTGCTTTGTTGTTAGTTTCAGTTCTTTGGTCATAAGATGGAAACTATTATTTAATAGTCATCAGTGGTTTACCAATGCAGGTTGTACCTTGTCAAGCCTTGGTTCTTGCATAAAAGGTTACCCACAATACACTGCTTAAGGATGTAAAAGAAGTCGTTCATGTCAGTGTCAGCAGTTTTGACTAGAGCACATCTTCCTACATCGTCATTTACAAGAATCAGCTTGTCCTTTTGGAGAAATTAACTGTCATGCCAGTTAAAGTGAAAATCAGTGACACATTTAAGATGCATGTTTTTCTCAGTCACAGCACTTACTTTGTCATCCACACATTGTACTTTTATAATCCATTATTCAATCCTTGCAGTAGCTTGTTTTAAAGGAAAACAGAATGAAAGTAAACAGTTTGTGATGGCGGTATTCAAAGATTTACTAATGACAAGTATAATATCTATTGTATTCTCGAGTCTAAGTTGTTTATATTACTAAATTAATTTGTTTCAAAATATTGCATACCACATTTTTAAACAGTGACTCTGCTTAAAATGAACCGTGAGTCTGCGAGAGAGTAGTAAACATGATGATAAGGTTCCTGGAGTAAATATATTTGTTCTTTTCAAGGACAATGTTTACTGGTTATGATATATGAAATTCCCATTAGGTAACAGGCATTAATTAATAACCAACTGAAAGTTTTTTACTGCTAATTTAAATGCTATATATACACTAAGCTGTGTTTGAGCTTACAATCAGAGAGTATGGTTGTGTCATCTAAGGGCTATCATGAGCTCTGTATCGCTCTTTGGCAAGTCATAGATGATTCTATTTTCTTTCCTTCCACCACAGATGGAAGGAAATAAAATCATTTGATTCCACCATCAATGTAGTCAGTGCTGATGAGAAAATCCCTCCCTCTGCGCTATTGTATTCTGGCTGGTGGGGAGTCATCATGTATGACAGAATACAATGATTACTGCTTAATGCTGTAGCTGCAGGCATTAATCGCATGCAAAAAAATATGATAGGATAGTTGTACCAAAATTGATCAATGGATCAACGACTTGGATACAAGTTCAACCAGCCTGCCCATAGATGGATCAATTCTTGGCTGGTCCCTACTAAACTGGCCAAGATTCAATCCATCTATGGGCAGTATTAGTCTTTTGGTCAGATTGACCAAAGATCTCACACAGCCAACTTACACAGAATCATTTCCATCTGCTGTCTCTTCATCACCTTTCTTTTCTGGTGAGCATTTCCCCCTAGGAGGATTCCCCCTTCGGTTTGAAGTTTTTACTAATGTCAGTTGGAGAAGTCCGGTCTGCACTTATGGGTCTTTGAGATCTTCATCTATGTGATCAGCTTAAAATGCTTCTATACCAGTAGCGTTCTGGTGAGTGCATATCCATAAGAGGTGGTGGATTCCCACAATGGATTATGAGCACCATTTTGAATATCTCACACTGGCATTGCTGTACCTTGCAGTACCATGGATTCCTGCGCTGGATGTTGAGCACTATTTTTATCAGTCACATTGGTATTGCTGTGCTTTGTAGTACCACGGACATTTTTTCATACTCTGTTTGACATCTGAATGGTTATATGTGTAATATAGTAATACTTTGTCACATGGTTTATTGTAATCAGGTGTTCCCATTTTTCACCATAACACTTTATGATGACATTTAATGTTTAGCACTGCACTTCCATTTGTATAACTTTAAGGGTAACATGGGAAAAACACTCATTTCAATTACATGCTTGGGAGATGCCTTTAAGCTGTATGTGGTGTTACAGAATAGCACAATTAAAATAGAAAATATTTTTCATATGTAATACATTTCCTAAATTTTACAATATTGCTAGGTTTAAATACTGAAGAACCAATCCAGCACCGCATATACTTCTTTTTGAAAAAGTAGTCTTTGTAGCTGCGACACTTGATTTTTTTATATTCTGAAGTAATAGGCCTAAATTGAAAGGTGGACAGACAACAGATCTAAAAGCTATAGGAAAATGTGCTCTTTAAAAAAAAATAAAGCGCTTACATTCATACCAACTGGCCAATGTCAAAACAGTTTTCCAGAGTGCACAAAAACACTCCACAATCAAACCCCACATTCCAGATACAAGACAGTGTTTTTATCCTGAAATAAAAACGAAAGTTTATTGTTTTAAAGACAAGAGCCACACATATAGTACAGTGGTTAATGATCAAGTAAGCAGCTTGATTAGGTTGCAATGTAGAAGGGAGAGATGAGTCAGTTTATGACCTAAAATTAAAAGGAGTGCATTATTTCAAAGACAATAGCTACACATATAGTACTGTGGCTAAAGAGTATGTTGGTAGCTTGATTAGGCTGCAATGTATAAGGGAGACACAGGACAATTTTTATTACAAAATAAAAGTGCAATATTTCACAGAAATGTGCCATAGATATTATACAGTCCATGAACAGTATGTAAGCATCTTTATTAGGCCATTGTTTCATAGGGAGAGATGAGGCATAGTATGTGAAATTTTAATAGAGAGAAACAATGCAGGTTTTATCAATAAATAACAATTAGAGTCTTAAATTTCACAAAAAAAATATTGTACAATGGATACACAGTATGTACACAGCTTTTCCAGGTCACAATTTCAGAGGGAGGGACGAGGCTGGTTTTATCAATTACCGTATTTTTCGCTCCATAAGACTCACTTTTTTCCCCCAAAAAAAGGGGGGAAAATGTCAGTGCGTCTTATGGTGCGAATATAAAGCAGCCGGTCTGCTATTTCCGCCGCCACCATGTCAGAATACCTCAGCTGTTCTCTACGGCAGGAACTCACCTGTTCCTTGGTCCAGCGCTGTAGTCTTCCCGCACCGGCTTCTTCCCGCCCCGGCATCTGTGACAGCCGCGTGTGCCCACTACGCATGCGTGAGAAGCGCTGCGCTTTGTGAATGGTTAGGTATCTTCTGGGACACATGACAGGTCCCAAAAGACGCCGGGCCATTCACAAAGCGCAGCGCTTCTCACACATGCACAGTGGGCACCCGGCTGTCAAAGTCGGGTGCCCACTGTATAGGAAGGAGAACTCCGTGGAAGTGAGAGCGGGTACCTGTCAAATTCAGGTACCTGCTCCCTCTCCCTCCCTAAAGGTCCGCAGTGTCTGGTCATGCCCTGTACTGTCTGCCGTCTCTGGTCATCCAGTATCTGGTCATCTCCTGTACTGTCCGCAGTATCTGGTCATCTCCTGTACTGTCTGCAGTCTCTGTTCATCTCCTGTACTGTCCGCAGTCTCTGTTCATCCCCTATACTGTCCGCAGTCTCTGGTCATCCCCTATACTGTCCGCAGTCTCTGGTCATCCCCTGTACTATCCACAGTCTCTGGTCATCTCCTGTACTGTGTCCACAGTCTCTGGTCATCTCCTGTACTATGTCTGCAGTCACTGGTCATCTCCTGTAGTATGTCCTCAGTCTCTGGTCCATCTCCTGTACTGTGTCCGCAGTCTCTGGTCATCTCCTGTACTGTGTCCACAGTCTCTGGTCATCTCCTGTACTGTGTCCGCAGTCTCTGGTCATCTTCTGTACTGTGTCCGCAGTCTCTGGTCATCTCCTGTACTATGTCCGCAGTCTCTGGTCCATCTCCTGTACTGTGTCCGCAGTCTCTGGTCATCTCCTGTACTATGTCCACAGTCTCTGGTCCTTCTCCTTTACTGTGTCCGCAGTCTCTGGTCATCTCCTGTACTGTGTGTGCAGTCTCTGGTCATCTCCTGTACTGTGTCCGCAGTGTCTGGTCACTTCCTGTACTATGTCTGCAGTCCATTGGTTCAGAATATTTGTTTTCTTGTTTTTCTCCTCTAAAACCTAGGCGCCTCTTATGGGCAGGTGCGTCTTATGGAGCGAAAAATATGGTAATAAAAATTAGAGTCTATCATTTCACAGAAAAAGCCAGAAGCACTGTACAACTGATACACAGTATTTAGTAGTCTTCAGTTTCAAAGGTGGAGACATGGCAGGTTTTATAGAAAAAAGTAAAAATCTGAATGTATTTTTTCCCAACAAATGGCCAGAAATATTACACAGTCCAAATAGCTCGTAGCCCACAGTTTCAGGAGGGACAATTCAGGTTTTATAAAAAAAAAAAATAATTAATATCTATTATTAGAAAAAAAAAGAAATGTTTTACTGTCACTACACGGTATGTAAGAAGCTTTAGTAGGCTGCAATATAACAGGGAGAGACAGGGTAAATTTGAACAAGAAATAAAAATTTGAATTCTCCACTTTTTTCCTCTCCTCTTCTCCTTTCCCTTCTTCTTATCTCTCTCTTTCCTTCTGTCTCTATCCACCTAATCCACTACCATTGTGATGTATGCATTGTCAGCTAATTGTAAGGGAATTCCTGTACAGCGCACAACATTGCACATACAAGTAAGCACAGGCGCATTGATAACAAAAATGAGCATAGGCTCGCTCATGCACTTGAGTGCATGCACGTCGGAGCGTACCCATAGTTTCTGGTGCCAGACAGGCTATTTAAGGAAGGCTCTTACTCTCTGTCAGTGCTGACTGGTCTTCAGCTGTTTCCTTGTGTCCTGCTTAAATCCTGTGTGTTATCCATTGCTGACCTGGCTTCCCATTAACCTGCTCTTGGATCCTCTTTATGCTTCTGCTTATTGGTTTCTGATCCTGGCTTACTCCTGACTACGTTCCTGTCTGATGTTTTGGTACCTCATCGCCTGCCTACTGCTGACCTAAGCTACCCACCTGACTACACTTCTGGCTCCAGTTTGGCTCTACAGATCTGCTAAGTGCTTTCCCTGGCTGTCTATCATATCAGCTCCAGTTGTCCTGATGTGACAACCTCATTCATAGTTACATAGTTAGTCTGGCTGAGAAAAGACAAAAGTCCATCTAGTTCAACCATTATAAAAAAAAAAAGTTATAATCCTACACCCACAGTTGATGCAGAGGAAGGCAAAAAAACCAGCAAAGCATGATCCAATTTGCTCTTGCAGGGGAAAAAATCCTTCCTGATCCCCCGAGAGGCAATCGGATATTCCCTGGATCAACTTTACCTATAAATGTTAATATCCAGTTATATTCTGTGCATCCAAGAAAGAATCCAGGCCTTTTTTAAAGCAATCCACTGAGCTGGCCAGAACCAACTCTTGAGGGAGTCTATTCCACATTTTCACAGCTCTTACTGTGAAGAAACCTTTCCGTGTTTGGAGATTAAATTTCTTTTTCTCCAGATGTAAAGAGTGTCCCCTTGTCCTCTGTGATGACCTCAGGGTGAATAGCTCTACATCAAGTTCACTATATGAACCACTGATGTATTTATACATGTTGATCATATCCCCCCTTAATCTCCTCTTCTCAAGAGAGAATAAATTCAATTCCTCTAATCTTTCCTCATAGCTGAGCTCCTCCATGCCTCTTATCAGTTTGGTTGCCCTTCTCTGTACTTTTTCCAGTTCCGCAACGTTCTTTTTGTGAATTGGTGCCCAAAAGTAAACTGCATATTCCAGATGAGGTCTTACTAATGATTTGTACAGGGGTACTATGATATCTCTTTCTCTCTGGAGTCTATACCTCTTTTAATACAAGAGAGAATTTTTCTCGCTTTAGAAACCACAGCTTGGTATTGCATGCCATTATTAAGCTTGTGATCTACCAGAACTCCCAGATCCTTCTCCACTATTGATTCCTCCAGTTGTACCCCCCCCCCCCAGTATGTATGATGCATGCATATTCTTAGCCCCCAAGTGCATAACCTTACATTTATCAACAGTAAACCTCATTTGCCACATAGTTAAATTAAACAGTGCATTGAGGTTGTCTCGTAAGTTGGAGACATCTTGTAAGGATGTTATTTGACTGCACAGCTTGGAGTCATCTGCCAAGACTGAAATGGTATTTTTAATCCCAGACCCTATATCGTTTATAAATATATTAAAAAGTAAGGGTCCCAACACTGAACCTTGGGGTACACCACCGACAACCCTAGACCATTCAGAGTATGAATCATTAACCACTACTCTCTGAATACGATCTTTTAGCCAGTTTTCTATCAATTTACATACAGATTTTTCCAAGCCTGTAGACTTTACCTTACACATTAGCCGTGTGTGGGGAACTGTGTCAAACGCTTTTGCAAAATCCAAGTATATCACATCCACTGCCACCCCTCTGTCCAAGGTTTTGCTCATCTCCTCATAAAACGAAATCAGATTTGTTTGAAAACTTCTGTCTTTCATGAATCCATGCTGTCTGTTGCATTAAAAGTTTTTTTTCTAGCAAGAACTCATCTATGTGGTCTTTTATTAAACTCTCCAGTATCTTCTCAACTATAGAAGTTAAAATAACATGTCTATAATTACTTGGTAAAGATTTTGACCCCTTTTTTAAATATTGGCACCACATTGGCCTTATGCCAATCCAGTGGTACTATGCCAGTCAGTAAAGAGTCCCTAAAAATTGAAACAATGGCTTTGAAATGACAGAGCTCAATTCTATAAGGACCCGTGGGTGTATGCCATCCAGTCCAGGTGCTTTATTCACCTTTATTCTGTCTAAATATTTTTGGATTATGTCAATTGTGAGCCAATATGGATCATTTGGAGCTGTGTCAATACCATGCTCATTATGGACAAGATCTCTCCTATGCTCTTTTGTATACACAGAGCTGAAGAATGTATTTAATACATTTGCCTTCTCTTTGTCCCCAGTCAACCACTCTAGATTATTTTGTAAAGGGCCTACATGCTCGGACTGGACCTTTTTACTATAAATATATTTGAAAACTTTTGGGGGGTTGGTCCTGCAATCTTTTACAATTTATTGTTGGTTTTAAATTTTTGCGGCCTTTATTTCCTTTTTGCATATTCTGGTATATTCTTTGTAATGTTTAAACGATGATACTGTTCCTTAATTTTAAATTTAGCACTTTTCTTATTATCTATTATATTTATAATATCTACTTAACTTTTTTTATTTATTTTTTGTGCGGGTCAGCGTTCATCGTGATTGGCTTTGGATCTTCTTTGACGGACATTTATTTTTTGGGGGTTGTTTAATAAACGACTTGTCAAAAACTGTTTCTGTGGGTTTTTTTTTACTTTTGACACTTTTGTGGTGAATGAGTATGGCTACTTTGTACTCCATATTCATTCCCATGGGAGGACAGGATCTGGGGGCACCCTTTTTAAAGGGGGCTTCCAGATTCTGATAATTCCCCCGCCTGCAAACCCTCACAACCACCGTCCAGGGTTGTAAGGATGAGGACAAAGAATAAGAGAGGGTAGAGGTTCATAAATATGCTGTATCACCCAATATAAGGTTTCTGCCCAGTAACCAAAAAACATGTATACAAAAAAAAGGGGTTGTGAAAATGACCATCACCTCAGTATGAGATAATACACAAAGACCTAAAATCACATAAAAGCAACATCAAGACCGGTCTTAATATAAATGTGCTGCATATGCAATGACAGAAACCTGTCTAGTGCATTTGCAGCACCAACACATTGGTTACACCACCAGCAGGGGGTGTGTCAAAAAATGGTACCATCAGGTATAATACTGTACAGCGCTATGCAATAATGGCTGATAACAGGCACCATGATAGAATGATAGCAATGCAGCCCCTATGTAGGGCACGAATGAGTGGTGAACATGTACAGATTCACAGTGGACATGCCCATATGTAAAAATGCAGAGTTATTCATAAAAGAATCACTGTTGGTATCCTTAGTGAGATAAAGATGATAAAGACGGCAGGGCCCTGCTTCACTGGGTTTCTTCACTGCAACATGCGAACTATAAACCACCTTAATATCGATGATAGTATGAAGCCTGCTGGGTCCTCCGTCTCTTGTAATATATAATTGGTGCCTTGCACCTGGATTGTGAATCATATTGTCCCCATCCTGCAATAAATTGATGACAAATGGACAGTCAATCAATATATTCTTGCTGATGTATGTGTAGAGTGGCGAATAAACGCCTTTTCATCTAGCTGTGTGACGGTTCACTCACCGCCCGAGCCATAGGTGATACTTTCTGGAATTTCCTCCGTCTGGATTACCAGGCATAGTCCCGGGAACAGCCGCTAACATCGGGACTGTGACTGGCGGGCTCCATTCTCCCCTTGGTGCCTATGCAGCCTTGCACAGCTCATGGCGCACAAATATGGCTGCTTCCCTGCTGGTCAGCATGTATGGCGCCAATGCATGTGACCAGAAGTGACGTATCTGACGTGTGACGATGGGCGTATCTCACTTGGCTTCGTCAGGACCAATGAGACATCTGCCTTTCAGCTTCCTATTTATGCTGGGCTCAGTGCCGCCCATATATGAAATTCAGTTGCTGGCAATCATTCTCAATGGGAAAAAGAGCTAATTACTTAGCGAGACAGCTGGTCATATAACTCAATTAAAAGAGTAGACACCTGGGCACACCGAGAGGTAGGAGAAATTTCCTACTTTCTTCTATCATTAAGAGGGATCAAATGTTTGCCAACAAACCTCCCACAAGGTGGCGCTGCTAATTAATTTATAATTCTACACACTTGACTATTTTTCTAAAAATACTTGGAGATCACATTCAATATTTAACCCTTTTTGGGAATAGAGTATCAAGTTTATAAATCCAATATTTCTCACGTTTTAATAGTTCTCTATCAAAGTCATCTCTCCTCTGAGGGAAATTTAGTGCATAAATACCTTTCACTTTAGTACCCTCTTATTTACCTCCATGGTATTTGGCATAATGTTGAGCTAAATTGCTTTCGGGGTCATTGGACCTAATATCTCTAAAATGTTCACCTATTCATACCTTAAGCTGCCTTTTAGTTTTACCAATATACATTTGTTTACATGGACAGGTCAACATGTAAAGTACTCTGGCTGTGGAACAATTTA